TTCTCCCTTTCCTGTTGTTGTCCACGTGTCCTCTTGGTTACTATTATTCCGCTGCGCTGTTCCCCAGCCCATGATAATGATGATGCAAATGTGTTGTTGTTGTTTTTCTCGTTGGTTTACTTGTTGCATTGTGCACATTGACATCTGGTGAATGTTGCATCTATGCTGCTGGTTGTTGCCACTTTCATCATTGCTAGATCCTAGGCTGTTAGTGCATTTCACTTTCTGATATGCTACATGGACCACCGGTCAGATATTAAACTGATCAGAACAGATACTACACTTGATCTTTAAGGTAGCCAGAAGGCTGAGAAAGGTATACCAAGCAGCATATTTCGTTTCCCCGAAGCACTTCTTTGAAAGTGAAAGGCGGAGCAAATAGGAACAAAAGCTTTTCACAAGCATTTCTTTCATTTTATTAATGATTTCTTTTGAAAATTTTAATCCCCTAAAATGCGTCACATCATTCAGTTATCTCAACTCAACGGCCTCTGGCGGGACCAGACCCCTGGTCTGTTTCTCGGCGTGTGCCTGGAGGGAGATCCCGCTAGCAACGGGTTAGTATAGAAAAAAGTTTGTGTGGCAGGCGAGCGACCCAAATCCTGCCCTGCAATGACTCGTGGTCCCACGGTCAGTTTTTTACACGATTTACCTGAAAAAAAGATACAGATCTTAGCTCCCCTCCTCCTCCTCCTCCTCTCCGGGTGTCAGCATGAGACCACCACTTCGGAGGCCGCCCATTTTTTCTTCTTTTTCCAACAGCGATGCTGGCCGCGCAGCGCCTCCGAGTTTTGCTTGTGGTGACAAAAACTTTCTGCAAGCCTGGGGCCGTGTACTAGCGGTTTAACACTGGGCATGCCCATGCGAACGAAGCTTCCTGCCAAATTTTTGTCTATCCAATGGAGGTATGGCCGATTGGAAGAGATGGCAAGATCATCCATAGGCCCACTGGATAGAAGATTTTCAGTATTTTGGTTCCGTTTTGGTTCTATGTCCAGGCGTGTCTCCAGGCACAAAATTGGCGTCGACAAGTGTGGTCCCATCAGCAGTCGGATAGGAGTAAGGCCGCCGATCCAGAGTCCCACTGTGTGGCAGCAGCACGACAGGTTCATGACAAACTTTTGGGCTGAGAAAACAGGAGAAAGGCACCAAAAGAAAAGTGTCGCTGCCACACAGTGTCACACTGGATCGGTCACACTGCTATCGGACTGCTAATGGGACAACGCTCAAGGACACCAATTTTGTGCCCGAAGCCACACCCGGCCGCAGGACCTCCGGGAGGGGTCACAGTCAGCCCCTGCACAAAATCAAAAGAAAAATTGTTGGAAAATCAAAACATTCTGGAAAGACAAATATATCGTGCAGAATTGCAATGCAAACACCTTTGGCCGAGGGTCACCTTAGAATGCCTCGTTGAATCTAAAGATTAAAAAGGAAAAAAAAAAGAAAAAAAAAAATTGAGGCAACCCCCTTCATTCACACCCCATTTGTACCCCCCTTCCCTCGGCCAACGGATAACTCTGAAAAAAAAAAAAAAAAAAAAAAAAA